AGGCCTGACCACGGAGCGTGCGCAGTAGGGGCAGACACGACAAGGCACCTTGTCCCTGGATACAACACAGGAGGGCACCCGTCAGAGGCCTGACCCACGGAGCGTGCGCAGTAGTGGGCAGACACGACAAGGGCCAAGAAGGAGCGCTGACAGTCAGCAAGGTGGAGATCAAGACCTGGAAGGGCTGCAGAAGGCCAGGCACCCGGTGTACTTGCTGGGAACACTGAGAGGGTCAAGGCTCAGAACATTCCAGGGCCTCCTGTGGGGATCCCAGCTCCTTCCTCTCCTTCAGATGCCCCCATGAGGAGCTAGAGCCTCAGACAGACCGAGGGCCACAGAAATGCCTGCCGTCTGCAGGTCCTGCTCTCCAGAGGTTGTCTGCTGCTTCTCCGGCTTTACATAAATAAAAACCCTCACATAGCTACACTGTTCTCAGTTCCCAGGACACGAGAAGCTGGTCAGAAACTCAACACCTAATAATCTATGTGCTCAGTCCTTACTCTTTTCTAAGGAAATAAAATAGAGACAGAATTTTTTTAAATGTATGACAACAGCAATTTCTTTTATCTGCTCACGTTACTGTTTATGAGGCACATTTACTTCCACTGTTGCATTTGAGCTTCATAAAATACCCAAAAGGTACTGAATCAGGAAGGAAAAAAGTGATATTAAAAAAAACCAACCAAACGAACCCCGCAGACTGTAACCATTTTACATTCTGAGGGAGCCGCAGAATTCATCTCAGGGGGAAATTGTTCTTTTGTTTAGGAAAGCAAGATCAATCCATTATACTCATGAAAGGGTCCTCGCTGTCTGGATGAGAGAATCTGTGTTGGAGAGTGAAAATGATCATAATGAAGGCTCAGGGCTGGTGGCATTGCGTTAGGTGCCTCAGGCTGGAGAGGGAGACTCGTGTGTGGGGGAACAGGAAACCTGAGCAGTGGCGGGGCTGGCAGGAGACTGGGGTTATTGAGAATTGGGTTGGGATGTGAGCAAAAGGTGACAGGCAAGTAACCACCAGACAAATCAATGAACACGGGCATCTTCAGAAACAGTCATGAGCCGCATAACGATGGTTTGGTCAACAACGGACCGCATATATGACAGTGCTCCCATAAGATTAGTACCATATAGCCTAGGTGCGTAGTAGGCTGTAACACCTAGGTTTGTGTAAGCACACTCGATGATGTTCACACAACAACAAAGTCGCCTAACAATGCATTTCTCAGAACGTGTCCCTGTTGTTAAGTGACGTGTGACTGTAGTGGGCAGCATGCAGACCTTCCACAGGTACATGGAACAGCAGGGGCTGGGCGAGGAGGTATTTTATTTGGATAATGAAGGAGAGTGGTCCTAGAGAGCTGGAGGACTTGGGGTCAATAAGGCACAACAGATATAAGAGAACCAACAAATCAGCACAAAATCGATGAGAACAGCTAACAAGAGGGCTCTGGGCTGGGGACGGGATTGATGAAACAAGCAAGGGCTACAACAGCTTAGTAAGAAGCTTTCAGAGACGGCAGAAGTGTTTAGGGGATTATTTCATTTTACTTAATTAAAAAAATGGTAATGAAAATGTGCCACCAAAGCACAGCAATTCACTGAAGTGACTTTAGTTCATGAAGGAGCCCCTAGATAAAGGAGCAAATGCAGAATGAGTTCGTTAGCAGGAAGGGGGAAAACAGAGGAGCCTGCAGACAGGTTTAGAAGAAATGTCAGCATAAAACAAAGATGCAGTAAAATATGAAAAAGATAAGTTCTCAACCTACCCAAGATACAAAAACCATGTCTCCAGGAAACCAACAACAACAAAAAGAAAAGTACTTAACCAAATATATACAATTAGAATTATAGATGCAGGCACAGGGGTGTTCAGAGGACATGATGTGAACAGAGACGGAAGTCACCCTGGTTGCCTCAGGCTCTGCTCTGGAACCACTGTGGGCGAGTGGCCCGAGGCCTCACCTGCTGGACAACAGCCGTTGAGTGGTCTTTGCCAAGAACACGAGGGTGGGCCCAGCTGCCCGGTATAATTCCCTCCAAATCTATCAGCCAATGATCCATGATTATTTTACTGAGAAACATTTTAGACGATATCTAGAATTTAGAAGAAATTAGATGACTAATTTCTAACAAAAACTGATTCTGAAATATTCTGATAATTATAATGGAGTAATTCTTTTATTTTATTTTATTTTTATTTCTTTTTCCTCCCAAAGCCCCAGTAGATAGTTGTACTTCATAGTTGCACATCCTTCTAGTTGCTGTATGTGGGACGCGGCCTCAGCATGGCTGGAGAAGCGGTGTGTCGGTGCGCGCCCGGGATCTGAACCCGGGCCGCCAGTAGCGGAGCGTGCGCACTTAACCGCTAAGCCACGGGGCCGGCCTATAATGGAATAATTCAATGTTAGGTTAACATTCAGGAAAACCACTCACTGATTCATTCTTTCATTAATCCTCCCATTTATTCATTTATCTCTTCAACAATTATTTATCAAGGACTTTCTATGGGCAAGACATGGTTCTGGGTGTTATTAAGAAATACCAAAAAAACAGCTCGAACTCCAACAAAATGTAAAAAGACAACGTACAAATAACCACACAGAAGCGCCACACCAGAACTACAGAAAGTGAAGACTAAGAACCACAGTTCTAGAGGCAGACGTGGATTCAGAGTCTAGTCCTATCACTGACAGCTGGGTGACCTTAACCCTTCTCCACCTCACTATTCGCATCCGCAGACTAGCATCCACATGGCAGGACAGTGGTGAGGATCAAATGAGATTATGCCCATAAAATATCCGTTACAAAGCCCAGTGCACAGTGAGTATTCAAAAACTGTCAATTATAATATGATGTTACTGCTGCTGCCTGAGACACACAAGCTGCTGTTGGAATAAAAAATAGAAAGGTCATTTCTGGCCAAAAGGACTAGGAGGGGCTTCATGATCCCGAGCCCAAATAAATGGTCAGGCCAGCTATGTGTGGCCTAACTCGATCAATGTGTCTCCAGCTCTTACAAACGCTCAGCAGTGTATCTGAGAGACAGCAGCAGCAGGCATCATATGTGTCCATTTTAGCAAAGCATTCAATTCCACCCCCAGAAGCCAGCCAGCCTCGCTCCCATAGCACTAGCATCAGGAAGACTGGAAGTGGCAGAGGTCAGGAAAGAGAAGGATATAATAATAGCTCGGTATCAACCTAGGCCTGACTCAAGGGAAATCACAGCGGCATGGATACAGGGCTCTTGAAAACAAATTAGCCTGTACCCACCACAACAATCTGAGATGGTGAAAATCAATATGGCTGTCTCACTTGTAAACCTCTCAGCCCTGCTCAGTCTCTACTCAAAACCTCATTTCCATTCACCTTCCAGCCCCATTCCACCCTGCCACTTTGGCTCTGCTCTGGAGAAACAGCATTTGTTATTCTGGGAACAACCAAGAGTTGTTCACTGGTATTCTGCAAAATTGGGTTACCTATTTGGGGAAAATAAATTTGGATTCCCTAAGTTTGGAAAAGCTTAATACCATATTCTCCATAATTCAATGAGCCATGTTACCATATTAAAAGCTTTGAGAAGTCCTATTGTTTCACTCAGTGTATCCCAAATGTATTTGACTACAGTGGGATATACTTTTAGTTGATGATCCAAAAGTCATTCTCAAACCCAATTCTTGAAATGGTGAGAAAAAATAGATTTCCCAACCTCCCTTGTAGCTATGGATGGCCACCTGGTATAATTCTGGCCAATGGGATATAAGGGGAAATCTGCTAAGGGATTTCTGGGAAAGGTATTTTCCCTTCCTGATAAGTAGGAGGAAAAAGGCCTGACCCTGTCCCTGCTTTCTGCCATTGAGTGTGGTGGAAATGCCATCTTGTGACTAGGAGACTCACAGAGACATCCACACAGAGCCTTGACATCACTAAGTCACTGGAATAATAACAGTACTCATTTACGCCTAGACTTCTTGTAAATGATTTTCATCAATTCCAAGACATATATTTTTTCTTTTCTTTTTTTTGCGAGGAGATCAGCCCTGTGCTAACATCTGCCAATCCTCCTCTTTTTTTGCCGAGGAAGACTGGCCCTGGGCTAACATCCGTGCCCATCTTCCTCCACTTTATATGGGACGCCGCCACAGCATGGCTTGCACAGCTCGCCAAGCAGTGTGTCGGTGTGCGCCCGGGATCCGAACCGGCGAACCCTGGGCTGCCACAGCGGAGTGCGCGCACTTAACCGCTTGCGCCACCGGGCCGGCCCCACATATATTTTTTCATCTCTGAAATCGGGGTAGGTCTTGCAATTGTTGTTGCCTGGACATCGTTGTCATTGCCCACACATGAATGCACTTGGTTGTTATTCCCCAAGGCATGACCGGACAACTGAAACCCCTGAGTGTTCAATTAACAAACCATTTAAGAACCACTTGAGGAAGGAATATGAGTCCAATGTGTTGTATAAAACACATTCCACTGATACCTTCTGGTAAGATCAAGAAAGCAGCAGCATCCAAACTGGCAGAACGGGTATCAGCAGCATGGATAAAAATCCCAGAGGCAAGAGCTATGCATCCCTAAGGCTCTGGAAGGCAGAGAATGATACGGCATGGTCATAAATGGATACTGATGAGCTGAGCTGAAAAGTGATTCAGAAGAGTCAGACTCTGAAAGTGAAGAAGTGAGGTTAGGAAGACCTCAATCAATTTATTGTGCTTATTGGTTCCTTTAAATGTATGTACAAAAGTGACACCAAAAAAGTCTGTCTAAACAAGTCTAAAAGAGTCTTTTTAATAGGTGGAAGTAAAAATTCTAAGTGAAAAAGCATTATGTCCCAACGTAATTGACAATATTTTCTTCCTTAGTGGTATATAAGATAATGATGTCTTAGAAACCACAGCATTTTAGATTCAGTGCAATATGGTTGTACTTCTCAGAGAAGCTTTCTCTAACCATCTCAGCTCCCTGTCACGTGCTCTCAGTGCAGTCTGCACTTCTTTGTTGTACTCCATACAATTATATTGGACTACTGGCATTGTTTGTTGATTTGCCCCACCCTCCAGATTATTTACTATTGCAGACTTGGCATCTGCCACTCTATCTGATATGCAATAGGCATTCAAGGAATTGAATGAGTGAACATATGACCATTTATTGAGCAATCCTCTGAGTAAAGTGCAGCAGCAGGAAATCCCCACACCCCACCCCAATGCATCAGCCAGGGTCCAAGACCCGAAGGAGCATCTTGTTGAACAGGAACTTGGGCTCTGTCCAAAAGGAGTGTATGAGAGATGCCAGAGGGCTGCAGGGTGCAAAGGACAGAGGGCACACATCTGAGAGGCAAGGTGTCCCAGAGGAGACTGCACTTGACCTGGCCTTGGAGGTCTTAGGTGTGTAAAGATGGGGACCGGATAGAAAGAGAAGTATATTTCTTAGTATCTGTCATGACTGAAAGCTGCCACTTCGTTCTACCCTGGATGAGCATAGGGTAGAAAAATGCCATCTAGACCAAAAAAAACAACGTGGAACTATTAAAACAAAACAAAAAAAAACAAGAACAGAAAAGGAAGAAGTGATGTCCCCAGAAACTGCAATGTATTCACTCTCCAGCTCTGAAACCCTAGTCTCAACTCTGCAATGGGGGCCTTGACCAAGCCAACTTAGTCTTTCTCAGCCTTGCAACTTCATTGGGAAATTAAAGGGTTAAACAAGATTCCCTTCCAACTGGAAAATTCTGAGTTCAAGAATCCATGAACCTCTTCTACGGCTCACCATCTGGCTCTAATTTCAATTCCAAAATAAGAGTTTCTAGAACTATTTGCAAATCTCTTGAATAAATGTTGAGCTTCCCTAGGTAACTCAGATGAAGGGTGAATAAATTCCAGTGTGTGTGTGTGTGTGTGTGTGTTTTTAAAGTCTTTATCAATTTCCTCCTCAGCCAACACTGACTTTACAATGTGAGCCATAGGAAAAGCTAAGAATTCTGGGTTCCTTTCATGAACCAAGGTCAGCCTACTTCAGGTACATCTGGGCACCTGCCCCTGGGGCTCTCACACCACATGTCAGTACTGTCCTCAGCATCCCACTCCTGGAAGAACCTCTCCACAGCTTAGCATCATGGGACTGGAAAGGGAGACATACTCGGCCTTCCATGAAAACGAATCTTCTAGTTACAGTCTGTCGTACTCTTGACCTCTTTATCCCCGACGGCATTATAAGCATGGTCTACCCAGTCTTGTTGTTGTTACTTGTCTACTTGCTGTTTGTTTTCACAGACTCACCTGGTGGCCCTCTGGGCATGTCAATACAACGTGGCCAAGGGGTTCTTTCACCTGTACTCCTAGAACCCCAGAAATTTTGCAGAAGTATCTTCAGGGCAAGGGAGGGTAATCCATTCCTGATTATTTTAATCTTTTTTTTTCTTGGCTAAATCTCTTAGAAAATTGGACTTTAAGAGGTAAACTGTGTCAGTGAATATTCTACTAATCTGAAATTTTAATTTCTAATCCTCCTCCCAATTTGTAAGGAATAAGAAAACCATGTATCCAACGCACACCAAATTTTGTATGTTTTGATGTCTTTCTTAGTTGGGGGGTGGGAGGGGTGTGTGTTCCTGGGAAAACCTAGACCTTTGATAATCTGGTATTCCAAGTAAAACAATTTACCACCAACAGAATGCCTGCCATTAGGGTCCATAGGGCCCCGATTCAACACTGCAGCTGAGCCTGGTGGTAAGCCCTTGATGAGGCCCTCTTTTCCAGAGGGACACACCAAGTCACAGGGGAAGGCCCCAGCAGAGCAGGAATTTTAACCCACCTCAGCTCATATATATCTAATGCCTGTGACTGATGACAATGAGAATAAAGACAAAAGGTTTAGTGAGTCAGGCAATTGATAACAAAGCCACTAGCATAACCACACTGCCCACTGTTAATTCAAAAAAGAGTTAGTGCTTCCCTCTAAAGTGGTACCCACCTCGCTGGCAGAGTTAACCTCTACAGCTACACACGCTCCATATCAATGCCAAGCAGGCTCCTTATCAACATGCTGGATGAAGAGGGGGGACCTTGCTTGTGACATAAAATTGGACTAACAAACAAAACAGAAAGAGAGAAAGAGATAGGATTTCTCCCAGGATAGCACCAATCATCAAATTCAATTCATTCTCCAGGCATTAAGCAAACAAAGAAAAAAACCCAAATAAGTTAATCACATGTTAGATGCTACCAACTTAACACAATAAGAGGCTCTGGAAGGACATCGAAGTGGGACATGGCTCTAGGATTAACACACACGTACACACGCAGGTGTTGGAAGGAGAGACACCTGGCTCGGATCCAGACCATGTGCTGGTGGGCAGAGGTGGCTGCTGGCCGCTCTACCCGACTGGATCAGTTTGGAGTTAGTCACGCCTCTCCACGGGGTTACCTGCCCTTCTCTGAGGTCCAAAGAGGAGACAAAATGCAAGAGTCGAGCCACCTGATAAAGGGGAAAAGAAAAAAAAGCCATGGGCACCAAGCCTACAAAACGGGTTGAAGCAAGCTGTGCTGCCCTCGCCTCCTACGTTCACTCACTCACTCACTCACTCACTCACTCACAGGTTTCTTCATTCATTCATTCACAACAAATGCTGATGGAGTGTTTACAAAGCTCTGTGTGGAGGTCCACAGAGGAACAAAGACAAATATGATACAATTCCTGCTCCCAAGGAGCTCACAATCTAGCTAGAGCATCAAGACACAAGTGTGTACAAGGCAGCAAATGACAGAGACAACAAAACGTGCCACAGAAGTTCAGGGGACGAAGAGAGAGCACTGTTGGCTGAAACACCCAGGGGAGGCCTCGTTCAAACTGGAGTGGGGCAAGGGCTATATCATCACGGAGAAAGGGGAAGGATATTGTGGGCTGGTGAGTGGTCTGAGCCAAGGTGTGAGAGTGGAAACCCGAGGAACATTTGGGAAACTGAGACTGACCCGTGTGAGGAGAAGAGGCTCTGGTGCTGGTGAATAATGGAGACAAACCTGGAAAAACTGTACTCCAGCTGCCTAAATTTGGACTTGGACAAGATGAGAGCTCCACTGAAGGCTTTTGAGCAGTGAGCAATATGAAGACAGCAGGATTTTAGAATAATGAGAACATTCTGGATATACTGTGTGGCACACACTGAGAACCAGTGCCCGGTATCTGCTCTCCCCTCCTTTCTCAGGTTGCAGCTGGGCACACGGATGTCTGGAATAAAGACCGTATTTCCCAGCCTTTCTTATGGGAAGTACGCTTAACGGTAGACAGAGTGTGTAAACAGACATTGACCAGCGAGGGAAGGCTGGTTTGGTGCTTCTGGTTTGGAACGCTGGCTGGATCTGAGGAGCCGGCAGAAGCTGCTGAGGATGTGCGGAGCAGGAGCTGGGAGGGGACAGGGCCGTGCTGGATAATGACAGTGCACGTGAATCACGTCCCTGCACATGAGATCAGGGCCTGGTCATCTGAGGCAGGCCAGCACTCAGGTGGTGGGCTTTCAGGGTCACCGGGAAGGACTCCACACACAGCAGCAGTCCCTGCCTTCACATGTACAAGTCCACCATTGAGACAAACTGTCTCAGCTGGAAGCTTTGCCTTGTCCATGCTTCCTCCTTGAAGACACAAGGCCCTGAGGGGAGGTTGATGTGGTAGCAGATCTCTCTTCCTGGGGGGACGGTGAGGGGGACACACCAGAGACCAGAGGCCTATTGGAAAGGGACAATGAGAGGAGAGAAAGGACTAAGGGGGAGGGGGCATCCACAAGACAAATTTGTTCAGCTGTTAGTGAAAAGTGAAGCTATAGCTCTCCTTACAGTTACAAATGTGCCCATGTTATCACAAGTGACAAAGCTTTAAAGGAACTGTATCTTACGGTAACACATATTGGTGACCCAAATTCCGTTACCAAGTACGTACCTCTTCCTGCATTTAAGTGTTGCCGCAGCCTTGCCTGTCATGGGCAGGATTTGCTGGCTGCCTTTTGCATATTAACACACCTGCTTAACTCCTAGAAGTGTCTGATATAAAATGGTCAGAAGGGCAGTCAGACAACCTTAAAAGTATCCAGGGCCGCACTGACTCTGAAATTCTCCGTGGCAGACAGTCATCTCTCAGGCACTCAGCCACGGTCCTCAGGGCCTGGTGGTGTAACCCAAGTCGAAAATGGTCAGGAAGTGTCAGTCAGTGTTGGGGGTCAGGGAGTGGGCCGGGGAGGAGGCTGTGGGGGTGCTTGGAGCGATGCAGGGAACACTGGACTGGGAGCTAGAGAGTCTTGCTCTGATCCCAGCTTGGCAACTAACAGCTGTGTGACCTTGGGCAAGTCACTCAACATCCAGGTCTCAGTGTCCTCCCCTGTGAAGTAAGGCGTTACAGAGATGGCATCTAAGGTTCCCTCCTGCTCTAGCAACCCACAAGTTGACATTCCCTCTCCCTTCGCAATGGGAGGTGATCACGTGTTATAAGCTGCCCCTCAGGGACCCACTCACCTCGAGGCTGAAGAGGCCCAGAGGCATGGGGGACCTGAAGCCCATGGTGGGAGACTGGCCTGCCCAGGGAGACACAGCACAGGCAAGGCGGACCGGGACAACACCCAATACCGTGCTCACGCTACCACACCACAGAGAAAAGACAGAAGGCAGCCTAGATCCACAAAAGTGGGAAACACAGCCTCCTCCCCAGAAGAGTCTGAATTGAAAACAACTTCCCAATGCCAGCAACTGACTTGTTTCTTTTATTTGGTTCAACAGTGAAGAGAAGATCATGATCAACCTCAGAGATCAAGCTGACATCTGAGGAGATGGGAACAATAGGTAACCTTTATTAAGCGTTTAATATGAGCTCTGCACTCTGTGAAGTCTTGATGTACATCGTCTCATAAATATTTTGTGGTAGGCACCATTATCACACCCACTTTGCAGGTGAAGAAACTGAGGCTCACAGAGGTGCAACAGTTAAGTGGGGGAGCTGAAACTTTTAACCCGAGTCTGCTTATCTCCAAAGCCCACACTTGAGGCTAAGCACTGCTCTGTTGGCCGGGACAGCTAAAAATATGCACAACAATCCTTCATTCCTTTAACATTTACTGTGCACCTACTAGGGATGCAGATAAGACATGAATATAAATGACTACAACAGAGTGCCACTGGGGACCAAGGGGCGAGAGACCAGTTCCACCTGGAAGCAGAGAAGGTTTTGTGGAGGCAGCAACATTTGACCTTGAAGAGTGGACAGGATTTCAAACAGGAAACAGGAGCAGAAGACGGGCCAATATGAGCAGAGGCAGGAAAGAAAATTCTAGAAATAGTGCACAGAGTTGCTATTTCTAGAACAGCACAGAAGGTGGTGCTGTGAGTGCGGCACAAGAAGAGCCGAAAAGGTAAGGGCAGACAAGATAGGAAGGCTGGGATCCAGTTTGGACTGCACAGGCCTCAAACAGGAAGGGAGAATAGCAGTGAACACTTGGGTGGCTACTGCAATAGTCCAAGCTAGAAGGGAGGGAACTGGGAAGAAGGCCAGGAAAGAGGGAAAGGATGTCAAATGGGCAGGACTTGAAGATAAGTGGGAGGAAGGAGTAGTCATCGAAGATGACTGAGATTTGGAGGCTGGGGGCCTGAGAGGATGGTGATTTCATTATCATCAGAAAGATGTGACACAAGAGGAGGGGGAGATTTGGAGTTAGGGAAATGTTGACTGGAGGTACCAAGGAGACAAGGGGAGAGGAAGTTCAGCAGAGATTCAGAAACGCTGGACTTGAGCCCCAGGCAGAGAAGCAGATCTGGGAACCAAGTGCATCAGGTGACAGCCAAAGGTGAGGGAAAGGATGAGATGGTTCTGGGAGGGAGAAGAGAGTGAGGGGCGGGGCCCTGGAGAAATCCCACCCAACACTAAGTGAGTGAGGGGAGGAGGAAGGGAGTGAGCAGGAGAGAAGATTCAGGGAGGAAGAGGTGACCAAGAAGGTGCCATGTCAAGAAACAGCTCTTCCCACTCACATGTGATCCTAAAAATGCTTTCTCAGACCTCCGAGGTCAAGCAGGCTCTTCTCAGAGGTCAGGGAGGTGGGTAGACTGCTCTCTTTCCACATGGACCCTGACACATCTGGCTACATATAATCTCCACAGGTAAATTTGCAACAGAGAGGGGGCAAGTCACATCAGACCAGCAACTCCGCGTGAGTCCCTGGCCCTTCCTCTTGGGCAGACTTGTGATGCTGGGCCTTTTGTTTGTTTTAATCCACCTAACCATCTACGGAGTGAGGTGAGGCAACATTCCAAGAAGAAACATTGGGAGGACAGGAATCCAGGATGACGGGGCGTTGAATGACAAAGGCGAGCGTGGTAGAACCACACTGGTCAAAAGTCTTGCTTGACTCTGTTTCAACATGTTTTGGAAAGTCAGTTCAGGTGTAAGCTGACTTGTTCGGGAGACTAGAGGGTAGGGAATACTTCCAAACTTTTTTAGCAGGTTGTCCATAACAGTTTAGATAATCTTGGTGTTTAAAACCAGTTGCTGGGGTGAATTCTAAATATTAATTTTATGTCACACAGTCTTCAGCTAAAATAGAAGAAAGAAGGCTAACTTGGTGTAAGCCAGCACAGTGGCTGGAATGTTCCTCGGAGGGGTGACGAGATCGCGTGGAGGCTTCTTGGCGTCCTCAGCCACCTGGATTCCGCAGACATGAGGGTGTGAAGCCAGAGACATGAGACACAGGGACATGAAGGGAACAGCGGTCTTCTCTTCTTCCTTAGAAATGCCTTCTAAGCATGAGCTGATACTGGGAGATTTTATAAAAAGAAAATCAATACCTGCCCTCTGATTAACTGTAAACAAGTAGTTTTTTGCTAGAAAGAAAACAAAGGCCAGGGCAAATGGTTCCAGTCTGATCAGAAGCCCCAGATCACTAGGCTTATGAATTTCCTGGAATGAGCTTCTGGTTCCAAAAATAAAGTTTCATGGTGGTTTGAAGGCAGTATTTTATTCAAGCAAGAGGTTTAGACAAAGCAGTGATGGATAAAAGATAAGGAAAAGAGGGAGGGGGCTTTTTTTTTGGTAACTATTTATGCTGGACTGTTTTGTAGAGTTTGTTTTATTTGTTGAGGCAAAATTGAGTGAGAATTTTAAAAAAATGAGTAGGAAAACACCATAGTTTATCTCTCTGTGGACTGTGCCTAGCTGTTCAGATGCTATAACCAAGGCTTGGCTCTACGCTGGTGGCCGCTGACCATAACTGCAGGCAAAGTGCCTGAGTTTTGGCTGGAAGGCAGGAAAGGTCATGGTGTGAAGGCAGGGCTGGACCAGAGAAGACGAAGAAATGGAAGCTACACCACGGGTGATACTATAGGCTGAGTTTCCATCTCCCTATTTTCCTGGAACCTCAAATACAGAGGTCCCAAAGTGCCAACTGGGTAAGGAAGGGGTCCTTGTCAAAGCCAGAGCACTGCCGGCAAAGGGGTGGAAATAAAACAAAGGAGAACCCAAGAGGTTTAACACAGGGCTTGGGGCAGTGCAGCCCAAAAGAACTTTCCAATGGCGGTAATGGAAACATTCTACATCTGTGCCAGCCACCAGCCACGGTGGCTGCTAAGGATCTAAATGGGGTTAGTAACCAAGTGAGAAACCGAATTTTAAATTTACTTAATTTTAATTAATTTAAATTTAAATGGCCACATGTGGCAAGTGGCTACCATATTGGTCACAGCAGGATACGAGGAATCAAAAAGGTTCATTCTTCAGATCCGTCAACAAGGTTTAATGAGTGGCTATGAGTGCAAAACACTAAACATGTAGGCGCCGCTGGTTTTTTATTTTGTTTTTTCTAAGCAAGAAATAAAGGAGAAGAATCCAGAGCCCCTCATCTCCAGAAGCTAACAATCTAACAGGAAATATTAGATTCTAGGAGGAAAAGAACCACATACAATCTGGGAAAGAAGAATCCCTAATTCACCAAATGCTGGCTCTACTTGGAGCAGCTGTCTTAAACAGGTGGCTTGAATAATAGTATTGGTACCATTGGAACTGTTCTAGGGAGAGGATCTCCAGGGGAAGGCAAACAACATTATTTTTCAAGTGATGAGACAAGTAAAAAGCAAGGTCGGTATACCAGGTCTGAGAACTGGGCAGGTGGGAGAGATCTAATATGTGGTTCAAATTTCAAGAGGAATAAGGTGGCTGGGATACCTCACAGTTTTAAAACTTTTCATCAGTTGGTTTTTCTCACTGTGGTTTCTCCTTCACGTGAGAATGTGTTTTGCCTAGCATTGTTTTCAAAAAGGGAGAAAGATTTCCAATTTTAGTCTTAAAAAGACCTGGGGCTCAATTTACCCTCTGGGTGGAATTACTGGCTAGGAAACAGTTAAGATCTAGGCGCGGAGCCTGCCAAGAGCCTAGGGACGCTTAGACAGAAGGTGCTAGAGAAGTGTGTCTTCAGGAAGGAGACAGCAGTTTTCATAGAAAAGATGCATCAACACTTCCAGGGAGAGAGATTAGACTTTGGGGAAGCCTGGGAGAAATCTCTCATGTGTCATTTCTTTGTTTTAGCTTTTCCACTTTCAGATAAAATACTAACATTAATAACAACTTGTATTTGTACAATGATATGGTTTACAAAGTTTCTTCACACTTCACAATGATGCAAAAAACCTGGAAATATTCTTTTTTTTTCAGGGAAAGGGCTCAGAGGGCTCAACATAAGAAAAAAAAAAGATTAAGAGTAGCCACATTACGTTGTACACCTGAAACTAATATAATGTTATATGTCAATTAAACCTCAATTTTAAAAAAGTGCAGCCAAAAGATCTTTTAAGCTCCACACTTGGGAGCCATCAAAGGATGGAAAAAAGAGCAGAAGATGTGGGGAAGGGTGACCCACTCATCCAGTCACCTGACCCTAGCCTCCTTTTAATCTGTCCGAACTGAGAGAGTCTTTTAGTTACCTCATATTCTCTTGTGTCCATTTGGCTAAATGCAGTAGATATTTAGAGTGACAGCTGATTCATGAGTTGAGGGTGTTTTCTGGGAGGAGACAGGCAGGGAGATGTAAGATGGAGCCACGTGTAGGGCAACCATAAATCTCAGTTTGCCTGGGACAGGCCTCATTTATACCTATTGTCCTGGCATAATTATTATAGCCCCCCTTTCACCCTCAGATGTGTCCTGGTTTGGGCATTAAATTATATGCTTACCCTAGCCATGCGTGACTTGGAGGGTGTCTTATTTTCACAAAATTGGTCTGACTATTCCCCCGGAGTAATCGACCAGGCTGCTGTTCAGGGCTGACCTGGGCGCAGTGCACTGAGCTGGGCTATTTGGAGCACTACAACAGAGATGGACGAACGTGTATTCTCACCATAATATTTCCCAACTGGCACTAAGTTTTGAGGAAATCAAACATTCATATACACACACATACCCCACTTTCCATTCTCAAGGTTAACGCTCCTAAGGAGCTAAACCTGCATCCCAGGAATGTTAAAGAAGGGAACTGTTTTAACTCTAATCACCTGTGCGCTTATGGTTCTGATGGGGCCTCAGGCAGTGATCCGTACAGAGCTGGCTATTTAAAAAACATCTGGAGAACTTGTTAAAAATAGAGATTCATGGGCCCACTGCCTGGGATTCTGGTTCAGCATATCTGAGAATCTATTAAAAACAAAGAACAAAATTTTCCAGGTGGTTTGGACACAAGAGGCAGAAATGGACCCACTGGTTGAGTCATCTTCCTTTGACCCCTGCCTGGAGCTATCAATTGTTGCTATGGAAACCACTGATTGACTCCTCAGCCAGACTGGATTTTACCTTTTTTTTTTTAGTCCACATTTGTTTTAAAAATAGAGGGCATTATTTTTGGAAGAAAGACGTGTTTTCTGTCTCAAGATATTTATATTTAGAGAGGAAAAGCAAAACCCCCAAAAGGCAGAACATTTTCTCATCTGAAACCAAATTCAGCAGGAAGCAGGCATCCCTCACTACTTTAGTCCAACTAGAAAGAACTGATGTGTAGTTATTTCCTGAGGCAAGTTTCACACTGTCTGGATCCTCCTTCAGGGTTAGTTGTTGTAAGGTGCCTGGCTGGAGGCTTGGGCTCAGGGGCTTCCCCAGTGGTCTGAGGGGCCGGTGGTGGCTGGCCAAGATGCTATCAAGACTCTGGAGGCTGCAGCTTGAGGCAAACCTGGAAAAGGATGGCCGTACGGAATTACCGTCAGAATAAAATGTACACACCTGTGGCTGAGTGGCCAGGTGACCTGTATTGAGTCACCTTGATAAATATACCACATTTATGCTCTATGATTGAGCTGAGCAAAGAGTGGGTAACCCATCCTCCTTCAGGCTTCAGAAGCAGAGGAGATGGAGTGGAGAGAGGGGCAGAGAGAAGATTTCTGTAGCTTTATGTTGCAAAGTGGTCTGATAAATTCAGAATTTACCAATTCTGAGTTCTTTCTTTCAGCTTAAAAATAAAAGCATAAAATGGTTGTGTCTCAAAAAGAAGGATCTTGGAATTCATTGCTCTCTGTAAATCTTGATACATCTCCTTGGAATATCAAAGTGGAATTTCCTCTCCAAAGATGCTCCCTGGGACCCATCATCTTGCCAGCACCTGTTGTCCTCAGGTGGGCAGGGCTCTCCAGGTACCAGCTGTATGGAGCGGGGGCACTGCACCACAGCTCTGTGTTCCAGAAGGAGCTGGTCCTTCTCTGAAATAGGAGGCATCCCCTTTTGGTTCTCCTGTCTCTCCCAGCCTTTGTCTGCAGAACTCCTTGATTTCAGCTGGAAAGTGCTTTTCAAACAAACACTCAGCCCCAGGTGCTAAGTCTTTTTTTTTTGTGAGGAAGATCAGCCCTGAGCTAACATCTGTGCTGATCCTCCTCTTTTTGCTGAGGAAGACAGGCTCTGAGCTAACATCTATTGCCAATCCTCCTCCTTTTTTTTCCCCAAAGCCCCAGTAGATAGCTGTATGTCATAGCTGCACATCCTTCTAGTTGCTGTATGTAGGACACGGCCTCAGCATGGCTGGAGAAGCAGTGCGTCAGTGTGCGCCCGGGATCCGAACCCGGGCCGCCAGTAGCGGAGCGCGCACACTTAACTGCTAAGCCACGGGGCTGGCCCAAGGTGCTAAGTCTTTATTCCAGAGATACTGCTAATGTGCTTCTCCCTGGATCAGAGCACAGAAAATCCTGCTCAGTCCTCTGACCCAGCGGGCTGTCAGCACCCTCCATCCTACCATCCACTCAAAGCCCATGGAGCACCAAGATCTATATTAATCATCCTCTTCCAAACCGTTTCACAGCTCTACCCCCTTCCCTAAAACCCTCACATCACCATCCAGGATGTATAGCTTCGCTTTGCTAATCCAACTCACTCCCAACCAGTGTGTCTTCCCAAAACCAAACATCAGCACAACTGCCTCTCCTCCACCAACAGCTGATTGTAGACCCCTACTCCACATTTGGTTTTGGAGAAGGGATTGTCACCAAGAAACACTAGGGCAATCTGCTGAATGTACTCGGAGAGTAAACATCTACCAATTTAATTTTTCAGGGCTGAGCACATAATGAGAAACTGACACAGTGACAAGGAGAATGTGATGTGAGAAGAAGCTAGGAAGGAACACAGAGGACTTGTGAACAGGGCTAGATGGGAAAGAGAAGGAAGTAATGCTCACATCACAATATCCCACAAGACCAGTGTTTATTTCAAACCTTCTGCACCTCCAGCTGCTACTGCTACACACATCATTGTCCTCCATGTTTGAACCACTCAACTTACTCTGGGACCTTGGGTTCTCTCCCCTGGATCTGCTGGGCCACATGAGCTTGGAGGTCACCCACTCACTCTGGTAGTCTCTCCATGTATCTATTTTGAGTTTAAGTGACGCCCAGTGCACCCCGGGAAATTGCAGAGAAGAGCTCACTCCCTCCCTTTTCCTCTTTTTCTCCTAGGCTTAAGCTCCAAGTAATTTAGAGGTTCTTAACTTGGGACCCACAGATGAGCTTCAAGGGCTCTGGAAACCTCTCAATATTACATACATCATTTGTGTGTATGGGTATGTGTGTGTACATGTGCAATTTTCTGGGGGCAAGATTCACCAATTTTTCCAACAGATTTTCAAAGGAACCCCAAAAAGGATGAGGAACCACTGATTGGTCCATAGCCTGTCCTGTGTGAGTTGCATGGGTGATGAGCAGGTCCCTCGTGCTGGAGGGACCAAGATGCTCATGCAGCCAGGGTGGTCAAGGTCCGGCACAGTACCTTGGAAGCAGCCATCACTGCTGCTGTGGCCGCCACGTTCAAGCCCCGCTTCCCATAGTGCACAAGGGCATCGTAACTTCGGTCTTTTGCTTGGACCAGGCAATCATCGATTTCCTGTCAAAGGAAAAACAGAGGCACAATTCAGTTGGAAGGCTCAAATAAATCTCTGTTCTTTTTCCCTTCTCCTGAGTGCTGGTCTTGGCAGCTTGCCCAGCCACTGATTCCTGCTGGGACTGAAAGTTATAGGCATTTGAGGGTGTGTGTGTATAGACAGGAGGAGGGAGAGAGACCGAAGAGATACAGGGGAGTGGAAAAAGGGATTCTGACAAAACAGCAGCTTACTGACCCAGGAAGGTTTTCTTCAAGCAATACCCTAGGATTGGTCCTAACGTCCTCTAACCTTCCAGGGAGGCTCCAGGGGGTCCTGGATGTGGACAATCCTGCCTTCTACACCCAGCCACTCTATAAGACACTGAAGGAACCTGGGGTGGAGAGAATGCCAAGAATGGAGTGTCTAACCTCAGAGCTGCCTCTAATCAGCTGTCAGACCTTGGCAAGTCCTTACCCTCTACACAGTTTCGTCTTCTGAAAAATGAGGACGGTGGCAGCACCTAACTCACGCAGCACAGTGAGGACCACATGAGATCATTCCAGTAAAGCGTCTGACACAAGGGCTGGTTGCAGTAAGTGAGAACCACTGTCGTCTTCCTTATCTCATGGGGGTCAGGCCCTGGCAGCTCTAAAATTCTGTTATGCTATAGCTATTTCATACTCTATCCAACTACCTCCCTATGTGTGTATCAATGGGAGGGGCTAGGATGCAGAGATAGGTGTTATTTTTTTTGCTAAGGGAGATTATTTTACAGATAATGAAATAAAAGCAGAAATTAGAAGTCATCCAGCATCACACTACAAGGTAAAAGTGGGGTGCGAAAGAGGACTGAGGTCTCCTTCACAGACCAAAACCAAGTAAAATATTGGTTTAATTCAAATTTGGATCAACTCTGGCTTATTCTTTTTGTTTGTTTGTTTTGGGTTGTTTTGTTGTCATTATTTTAAGAAAACAGCTGTTTTGTAACTATAGTAGCTCATTTCAGAGTTCAGTAAGACAATGACATTTGGCCTCGGTCTCACTTAAGTTCAGCCCATTAGTGCATTTCCTCTGCTTTGAGGTATGCAGTGGGGCAGAAAACCCCCTGCTCATTCCTTGTGTAAGCTTCCCCAGAAAGTCACGATAGTAAGTTTTCATTGTGATCCCTGACTGACTCTGGAAGTGATTCTTGGCAGCTCATAAGAGTCAGTCACCTTCACTTCAATGGAAATTACTTTGGTGGCTTTGGGGTAAGCCCAGCGTGCGGGGAAAGGGAAGTAGAAACAGTAGGGATTTGATAACCAGGTCAAGAGAGGGACTGCCATTCCTCAAAATCCACCCTTCTGAGACAGGAAGTGCTGTGTCCTAGTTCCTCAAGGGATTCTCAGAAATGTCTACAGTAGTCTGCTCATCCAATTGATATGTTCCCCTAAAGCCTCCCCTAGAAGAAGTTCAAAGCATTCAACTTTCAGAAACAATAGAAATTAATATATAAAGCCACCTATAGTTCTCCTATTTTATGTTAAAGAATCCTATCATACAATCAGTTTAGAAAGTCATATAATAATGAATTATACAATGTTGGACCCAATACGTAATCCCACTCTTGGGAATTTATTCTAAGATAACAAGTCAAAAGAAGGAACGAGGGGCCGGCCCCGTGGCTTGGTGGTTAAGTGCCTGCGCTCCGCTGCTGGCGACCCGAGTTCGGATCCCGGGCTCGCACCGACGCGCCGCTTCTCCGGCCATGCTGAGGCCGCGTCCCACATACAGCAACTAGAAGGATGTGCAACTATGACACACAACTATCTACTGGGGCTTTGGGG